GCCTGGGTCGTTAGAATGACAGGTGAGGAGTGGAAGGAGGCGCGCTGCTCCTGTCCATGCTTTCTCAAGGAATACAGATGCAAGCACGCTCTTGGTATGGCTATTCGTCGGCAGCTAGTCCGCCCGCCACCCGAAGCTAAGCAGATTCCTCTGGGTCAGAAACGGAAGCCAGGTAGACCGAGGAGGGCAACTCGCGCTCTCCTCGTCGACTAGGGTAGAAGAAGTATGAGCTTCTCTCCTTGCATATCTAACTGCCAGTCTCGTTGTCGAGGACTGCCCGACTCCTCGTGAATAACTGCCAGCTTTGTAAAATAGACTTGTACGAATTGAAAAAAAGACTGCTAGTCCTAAGTAATAAAACTGCCGAAGTTGTGAAATTTCTGCCCGAAATCATTTTCTTAACTGCCCGATCGAGAAACTGCTGAATCTATAATTCGAACCGCCCAGAATATTAATCCCCATTTTCAGAGGGCTCGACTGCGCTGATATCTGCGGGATCGGGCCGGAATACGTCCGTATATGTACTCCGCTGTGATACCATTGATTGAATTACTATTCCGGAACGGAGAGAGATTCGAGGATCGGATGCCTCCAGACGAAGAGAACTTTCGTTCTCGGGAGTTTCAAACCCTCGTCTCGCGCGAGCGTTTCGTCGTGGCGTGGCGAGGCGTTCCTCGGAAAATCGGCTGAGGCGTTCGCGAAATCCGCAGGAGGCTCTGCTCTGCGACGAGAGGAATCATGTGTCAGAAGATATTACCAAGAACTCAAAAACCTGTCAACGAATCCGAAGTCGGAACGATGTCTCATCGGGTATTTCTGCGAGCGGAATATTCGACGGCGGGCTCGGATGCTCTCCACCCAGCCCTCGTGAGCCGACAAGCTTCATTTTGAGACTTTCCTCGACAGACCGGATCAAGTCGGCGACAGATAAGCCGAAACCGATCGCTTTTTGAAGTCTGCGTCCCCACGCCGACAACTCTGATTGAGTGATCAGCGCGGCCGAACTCTGAACCCGGACCGCAACGTCCTCACATGAAAGTTTTGCGGCTCAGCTGAACATCGCTGTACGGCGATAGGATTGAGAGGAGTGAACGAGCGAGAGACAGAGAGCAGGAGGGGGGCGAACGAAGGGACGAGGAAGTATTCTCCGTAATCGGGCACTAATTCACTGAACTCATCAGTTAGGTAGCAAGCGAGCAAATAGTCTATTATGGTGTTGGTGGTGGTGGCGAATGCTAATCACGCTAATATGCGCCTTACGGCGTCATCTGGTCCTACAATGAAGCCAATGGCAAGGGTGATTGTCGCCCAACTTGCATATTAGTGACGCCTGGCCCTCTGACCGGCCCTTCGCTTGAGGTGCTCCGTCATGCGAATCCTACGAGCGACGCGACGTCGTCTGTGATGTTGCTATCGTTCTCCCTCTCTCGGCGGACAGTGACGCGGGAGCCCGGAGATATTATTTGTCGAGTCGCTCGTCCATATCGTTGAAAGAGCACCGACTTGCTGGCATCAGGATTTTGTCGAGATCCATCGCTCAAAAATAATTTTTCAAATTCCTCACCGCCCTCTCCGGCCAAGGACTAAGCAAAGAATCGTTCCAGATGCGCCCGACTCACCGAGTTCGCTTGAAGTCAAGGAATTGGGATCGAGGCAGATCCAACTGTCGTGGAATCTCCCATTCACCGGGAACTCTCCCATTTCCCAATGCATGGTGCAATGGCGATCCGACAACGGATTGTGGCACGATTCGGCCACTGTAGGCGGCGACGAACGAGTCGCCACGATCCGGAGCTTGAAGCCGACAACGAAATACTGGTTTAAAGTAAGATGTCAAAACATGTTCGGAGTCAGCGAGTTCAGCAAGGAATACGAAGTTGTCACCTCGGAGGAACGTGAGTGTTTTCCTTCAAGTCTACAGCATCGAAAGATCTTTGAAATCGAGAAGTCGACCCGCCGGCAGACTTTTCAAAGACGTCCATTCCTCCGCAGCTCCACGGATGCCGCCGCAATCAGTGAAACTACAGGCCTTGAACACCCATGCCATTTCTATCGCATTCGACGTAAGTTCCAATTCTAGGATTTCGCTTCTTCCGCAGCGAGGGATTCCCGCACCTCCCGGAGCGTACTCCTCGCGGCCCGTAGAGTCGACCGGTCCTCCGCCACGACTGACGATGAGACTTACGTACAGTTAGCTCCTGGGACGGCCTCCGTGAACATAGACGTGAAGGAGACCACGGTGATGACACAGAGCGAAACGAGTCCTATACGAGAGCGCATCAACATGCGCAGTGCGAGTGATGCGCTAGATAAACATGTTATTCTTCGACATCACAAAAACACGAGCGACGTTCTTCACGATGATGCTTTTTATGCGCGGAAGGCTCCCTTTGGTTGCTCGGGCTCCCGAATACGGTCCCGCCTGCCACAGAGCCCCGGAGACGACCCTGGCGCTCGCCATTCGACAACGTTTTCCGCATTTCCCCTGTTTTTCTGCTAAGAGGCTTCAATGTCAGCGAACGCCATCGTGCAGTGTTGTGTTTTGTGGCTACTGCGCAGCGTCACGGTGTCATGCGGCTTGAGGCGTAATCTGCTCTGACGTTCTGCCGTAAGGACGGGCTAACTCGTTCGGGGCTGCGACTTTGTTCGCATCCCTCACGCACGAAAAGAGGATGCTTGACAGCGACTGCTGGACGTGGTACCTTCGCTCGTTCGTCGTCTATTTGTTTCTTGTCTCCCGGGTTCCTTGTCCCTCTCAAAACTAGCGGTGGACAGAGTGTCCTGCCGGTCCCGGAAGGAAAGCCGAATTTACGCAATGGGGGCAAAAAACATTCCCGATGATGGATATTATGGATTGGCTTCACGTGGGGAGAGTTTCACTTGAGCAGATACACCTATCTCGATTGAGGCACGAAAGCTCTGGACACTCGTGCACTAATCATTGTAGCTAAAAAAAAATAGACAGAGTGCCATCGGGACCTCCTCAGCCGTCTTATTGACGTCTCGGCTGCTTGGTCATGGTAATTGTCGCGGTTTTGCTCTGGAGGGACGAATTGCGCGAGCCAGCCAACCAGCCAGCGTGCCTGCCTGCCTGCCTGCTGCTTGCAAGACGGCAAGTGGCCCCGCGTTGTCGTTGGTGAGTGGTATTTGTCCTTCTTTTTTCGGACGACTTGGCGCAACCACTCGTGGTAACAACTGTTTGTCCTTTCCAAGCCAGCCACTCGTACGCCCTCTGTTCGTCGGCGCTTTCTTTGCTTGCCATCCAGCCGACCGGCTAGCCGCTGGCCTGCAGGCCCCCACCCAAGCTATTGCCTCGATCTTACGTTCCTCTCTCGACGCATGGGACATATACGAAAGCCACAGCGGCGGACTTCTGTTGGTAGGAGTGAATTACCTTCAATTACAACAAGTCCTTGACCAAACATTTGCTTTTTCTCCGGTCGGTTGTTCGCGGTTGACATCGCTTTGTCGGCGGACGTGAAATAGGGAAAACAGCGCAGAGCAGACGCCACAGTCAACGAGCTACGTCCGACGGAGACGCTCCTGCGAAAACACACCGGGTACCGACAAAGCGACAAACAACCGATCCACGGAGTTTCAACTCCACTTACGCTAAGGGATTCGGTTGGGATAGGGATCCGGGGACCGGACTCCTACCTGAGGTGGGGAGGGAGTCTCCCGAACGGACGCAAGCGGCCACAGACCGTTTTCCGCAAGCTGAGAGACAATTCTGAGCACGCACGGACGCCCTCCATCATCTTTGATGCCAGGCTACGATGCGGCAATCCTGGTCGGTCGCTCTACGAGATACACAGCTGCTGCAGCTGCTGCTTTGACAGGTGGCCTCGTGGCTACGAATTAGAGACTAATGAGCAGGGTTCCTAAAAACGTAAGAGGGAATACTTGCCTCCCCGCTCTGTGCTTTCTTGCTTACTCACATTCTGTGATGGAAGTGAAAGACAAAGGATGACAGCCGGGGTAATCGGCTGACCGGCTGTCCAAGCCGCCTGTCCGTCGTGCTGCAACTGAACGACGACGCAGTGGGCTCGTAGTGTTGGTCTTTGGACAGAGGCTGATGAGGCTCGAGGGAGCAACAGCTTCGAAACTCGCTGTCGTTTCCAGCAAAGAGGAAAAACAACGTCTGGCAAGTGAACAACGGCAACGTCTTCTCTTGCGCCTTTTTTACAAGTCCACGGAATGTTTGACATTTCAGACACCACACGGAACCGAAGACGAAGGGAAAGTTGAAGGCTACTACATCGGCTATCGTGTTACGACCCTGGATAACAACAACCCCCAATACAACTTCAAGACGTTCAGCCTCCTGCCCGAGTACGTGAAGCCTCGAGTTACGTTCGAGTTGGATGGTCTCCGGAAGAACACCGAATACACAATCCACGTACAGCCCTTCAACGCCAAGGGTGCGGGACCTTCTTCTGCGAATTTCAAGGTCAAGACCCTAGAATTCGGTGAGTTCTCCCAGCGTCTGCCGAAATCCGCGCAACGTATGTGTCCGCTGGCCGCTCGTCGACGTGAGGAAGACCAGTCAGGACCGAGAGCGATTCCTCCGATCGAGATTTCAGCGTGGCGTCTTTCAGATCCTCCAAACCCACCGAAAGTCACCGTGACGTCGACCACATCGAAGTCGATCACCATTTCCTGGGAGGACGGAGAGCGCGCCAACCAGCTCGAAGCGGGACCCATTAGAGGTGAGTAGTTGCTGCTTATGGTCGCCATCGTCGTTTCCTTGTGCGGGAATACGGCGGATCAACCCCTGTACGTGGTTATATATTCGCGTGTTTCGAGCTCGTCCTTCGTCCTCTGTTATTTTTCGCTCCCTCGTTGTTTCGCTCAACTTCAGCTACGGATACACGACGAGCGCCCGGGGACGTCGTGAATTGAGATATATGAAGGTCGCTCAGGTCGTATCGGACCATTTCGCACTGCCTCATGTAGGATCCTTTGTCCGTACCTTCCCAGGCTACTACATCTACTATCGTGCGGATAACGAGGAATGGCATGAGGTGGCTGTCACGGGAGAAAGACGCAGCTTCACTTTGACCGACCTAAGATGCGGTACGCAGTATCACGTGTACATGAGAGCCAGCAATTCGGCCGGCAAGGGTCCCGAAGGTTCCACTATCTCCGCGAGGACAAACGGGGGCCGTAAGTACACGTTCGGTGACTTGATGTGTTTGTTTGTGGCTCGGTGTGACAATGCCGTTCCGTGGAATCGATCAGTGTTTTCGAGAACCTCTTTCGTCTTGGGAACGGCTACCTCACATTTCCTGTAGCTCTCCTCCTCTCTCATCCAGCGGACGCTCGGTTTCCCGGTACGCGATTCCTAGCTCTCCACCGAGGCTGCAACTCGGGCAAGTCAGGTCCTTGAGGCGCTAAGCGGATTCATACGACTGTAGTCGGAGCCGCCAATGTGCCTGAGCTCGCACGTTCATACGTACAACTCGTCGCTAACAAGCATGGTGTTTTTGCAAGCACAGACAAACGCTCATGGTACAGCGTTGCGGGCCGAGCAACGCCGACGTCCGACATTTCTAGCTTCATTACCGAAGCAAAGTGAATACATATAACGTTTTCGCGGCCGGCCTCACACAAATGTTCGAGTGAATGGACGGAGAGGCGGTGTAACTCGCTGAGTAAACAGCAGGATAATTGAGTCACAAAACTCATGCGGCGAGTGAAGTTTGCGGCAGGGCCCCGCGGAAAAAAAATATATTCGAATAAGAAATGGTGGTAGCGTTCCGAGACGAGAATAGAAACCGAGCAACGACCGCTCGAGGAATCAGACTCCCGCGAGCGCATGGGGGGGGGAGTAAAAAAAGAGTTCGCAAAGCAGGGAAAGGGGGGGAGAGAAGTTCCCTCTCGTCAATTTATTAGAATTCTTGGTTTCACTCGGAGAACACCCGCCCTCTGGACCGTCCGATCGGCGCTCGCGAATTCTCGCCCGGTCAAAGCTCTCTGGTTTCAGTAATCCGATTCTAAATTAATATTCATTGATGATATTATTAGAGCGAGAGGAAGAAGGAACACCGGCGACCCGGAGCCGTCTCGGCCGTTCTTCATTAAAATTGTACGCTTGCCAGATCCTTTCCTTGACAAATGAAGAGGTTCGAGGGAATTCCGGGCTCTGAGCCGAACGCCGACCCGTGCATTTTCCTCCTTTTATCTTCGTTCTCGCCGTCCTCCGATAGGGCCAATCTTAAGCCTCTGTTCTGTGGATTCGAACGAGCGTCCGACCGACCGGACTGCCCTTAGTCGATCGAGCCCCTCGCGATCAAATGCCAGGGCCTAGACGGGCAGAGAACCAATAGATACAAGTGCTCACGGTGGTAGCGCAACGTTGCCGGTGTTTCCAGTGATTCGTTCTAATCTCTCCCATTGCGTACAGGAGCCATCCTCCCGGATGAACAGCTTCTCCTCGAGACGAACTCGACTTTCGTTCAACTGCACCTAGACGCCTGGGGCCATGGCGGATGTCCCATTTCGTACTTCGTCGTCCAGTACAAGGAAGAAGGCAAACGGGACTGGATACTCTACTCAAACAACGTCCTGATGCCCCCTCCGGGTCAGCATCAAGCATTTACGATAGGCGAACTCCTGCCGGGCTCTTGGTATGGTCTGCTAATGTCTGCTCACAACGATGCCGGCGAAACTCAGGTCGAAATCAGTTTCGCAACTCTGACCTTAAATGGAGGTGAGTAGCCAAACTCAAGGATTCGGACAGATAGTGAAAGCAGGTGAAGGCGTCCGCTCCTCGAGTTGTACCTGATATCGGAAATGAGCTGACGCAGGAAGTTATCCATGCGAAGGAGCTCTGGGAGCGGCTAACGTCGCCGAACTTTTTAGTCTACCGATGACGAGCATGTGCGTGGCTCGATTTTTTCGTTTGGCCGAAGGGACAAATCACAAATGGCTTTTAGACGACTGAGTCAGCGGAGTGGTCCGCTGCGCTTTTCCTCCTGCGGTTCCGCTCCGTCCGTATCATTTCGAACCGGTCCGGAGTTCGGCGCCGTCCACCACAGCCCGGCGATCGCGAGTAGAGTAGAGTGGGAGAGCACTGTGGCGGTCGGACATGCGAGCCCTCGGTCGGTCGGTCGGTCCGGAGTCCCTCATGCAGTTCGCGGGAAAGAGCGCAGCCCGCAAGTCCGTCATGATTCAAGCTACGTACTCGCTCCGGGATCTGGGACACTTTTTCGTATCGAGAGCCAATCGTGCGTTTTGATTCGTACACGTTTTTCGTTCCCCGGCTGGCCCGTCGACTACTTGACCACTGCTCTGGCCGAAGCGGGTAGACGTCAGCGTGGCCACTTCGGCCACTCCGTCCTTAGTTCCGGCGCCAAGTCGACGTCGCCGTTTGTTTGATGATACTTGGGGGAGACGACGACGACTCCAAGATACGACGCTCAGTAGACAGACGGACGAACAGTCGGTCGGTCAGTCAGTGAGACGAACGGATCTTTTCCCAAGTCCACCACTCGCAGCGATGGGACGAAGAGGGAAGAAGGAAGTTCCTTCAGCGATCCAGACTCACTCTATCCGACCCCGACGAGTAGAAGGGTCAGGATCCTCTACGGTGCGACGGGATGCCCGGATGGATGACGGGCTGGATCGACCGACCGACTCGTGGTTTGCGTAGTTGCGCCGCTACCGCCGTCCATTTGCCGTAGACTCGGTCAGCTTCAACTTATCTTTCAGAGTCGGTAATTATTCTCCTTCGAAAGCGGATGTGGAGGTCATCCCCCGCGGAAAAGTTTGCCGTTTGTTCATCCTTATGCTCGTTCTTCTGTTCAGTTCTGCTCCGTTGACGTGCTTGGGGTTGGTTTTCTTTTCTAGATTGACCGCCGCGATCGTCTTGGCTCAGACCGACTCGATTCGATTGCTCTTTCCCCCCCTCCCTTGTCTGTCCCCTCTGAGTGAGCCATCCCTTTCGTCGCTTGTGCTACCGACAGCGCGGGCAAAGCCTAGCGACAGTTCAATGTCTCTTAGATACATCACTGCGGCGGCGCAGCGACTCCCAGGGTCCAAGTATCCTCATTACTTCCGACGTAGGACCCAAACGGCCTTCTGGTCCTCGGCGCGACGAGTGTACCAGGCCAGACGCGTAATCCAGCCAATCTGGGCCAGTTTGAGGGTCGCTCGTAGTCTTAATTACATAAGGACTCCGACAGAAGCAGCTCCCGCGCAGGTCTTCTGCGATGGACCAAGAGAGCCTCACGGATTGAGCGTATCCATGTCGAGTCCGAGTCGCCAGGATGCCGGAGAACCGAGACGATTCATGAACACGCCGCCGGCTTCGCGAAAGCCGAGAAAAAGGCCAAACATGTCCGGATATGTTTTATTTCCCGGAGCCTTCTCGATTCCCTGTCTCGATCTGCCGCTGGCACGCGGATTGATCTATTGAGCGCGGTATCAATGCCCGCAGCGAGGTTCATGAGGGCTACTTGCAATCAGAGCTCCGGGCAGATGGATGGAGGGTCCCGAGGCGGAAACTGACTTCGAAATCTTATAAATCGTTTAGCGTTCTAGCAGGTGTCGGGGTAATCAGCTCCCTGGCTGGCTGTATTTTGACATCGCTCGCTCGAATTGAGCCATCGTCTCGTAGGGAGATTGATGGAACGGAGCGGCTTGATCTATGGAGTTTTACGCTAGCTCCGTCCTGTTCCGTGAAGCTCTAGGACGTCGTCAATCCGGGATTTGCCGCAACACGATCTTTCCCAGCTTAATCTATCATTAGTGATACTGCCGACGGCTCTCCGAGGGTCGTATTCTCTCGCCGGTCGTCCTCGAACGTCGTTCTCTTCTTCGTCCCGTCTCCGTACTTTTTCTCGGGTCTCGATGTGTGCTCATTCATTTGCCGCTTCCCGCTCGATACAGGCGCTGGTGTTGAACACCCGGGAAATCCTAATTTTCCAGGAATGTCCTCTCGGCCGGTCCGCTGAGATAAGACTCCTCTTCTCCCTATTAGCAGTGGCGGCAGTGGCGGCAGAAGTAGTGCTGGTGGCGCCGACGACAAGTCCAACCGATGGAAAACTCCGAACAGCCAAAGGCGAACTATGTATATCGGAGCTGCCAAACACTATCAAATACTCGCTTCACGCATGGCGTACCGTTGAGTGACGTTTAATTGGGACTCACCTCATCAAATAGAAGTTTGGTCATGAAACGGTGAAAGCCATCAGTTGCGACCGACGGTGGAGTAGATCTCCTGCTCAACGATGCAAACGAGGCGACGTGCCTTTATAGCTGCCTGTCAAACGAATCAAAGCAAATCTCAACGGGAATATCCAGGCTCCTGATTGAATCGCTCGTGATCATTTCAGAATTGCCTCCCCGTCGCTCGGAAGTTCGTGGTGTCGTATCGCCAGGCGTCTACACTCATCTCACAGTAACACTGCCAATCTTCAGCTGCATTCTAGTGATCGCAGGTGTTTGTGCAGCCGTTTGTTTTATCGCACGGAAGAAAGCCTTCAGCGACGTGAACCACGGCGAAGGTGAGGGAACCGAAAATACCGTGAGAGATCTCCGGCTCATGGAGGAGTCGAAATCCGAAGGAATTCCCGCGACAGGAGTCTCCTCATTTGCGAGGAAATATTCCAGGCGATAACTCGATGTACGAGCAGTCGAAATGCGACGGCATTTACCAGACGGTCAACCGGCAGACGGCCGAGCCCATTTACTATCCAGCGCCAGGAATGGGCGAACGCAGCTCTTCGGGAGACATCCTCGGTAGATCGGCTGGTGGTAGAATGTTCGCCGCGACGGGTTACGATGTGCCGCAACCTCACCGCACTTACGAGATGCCCTATCTCAACAAACGTTGCCTTCAAGCCAAGACCGACCAAGGTCAGACCATGATGCAGACTTGTCTTCAATCAGGTTCGTGGAGCACAATAATGTACAATGAGAATCCGCAAGGGAATCGACCCGGGTCCGGTTCAGGAATCCGTCCAGGAGGGTCTCACTCTGAGATCACAGAAAACTCAAACCTCCATTGACGCTTCCGGAATGTTCCTATCCGGGGAAAATGAGAGCATATCGTTGATTCGAAATTGAGCATGTCGCTTGGAGTTGTAGCCATAGTCAGCCGCCGCAATGATAGCTAGATATCTCTCGTTTGCAGCAGAAACTAACGGTAGAAACTCCATGATCAGGACAAGCAATCGTAGGACATACGGGAACGTTATCGAAATGTGCGATGATTCAGCCAGGGAGCGCGACACTGGGAAGAGCCACCAAGCTCATGGCGGGGGCTCACCCTCACGTCGTCCCAGGGGCCAGCTCACCTCAGCATCACTGGAGGAACACAGCAACTCTTTCCAAACAGGCCACAATGCAACAGCAGCCTATGTGTTCCAATCTGAAGTCGAGTCAAACTCTTCAAGTGCGCGATGGGTACGTGCCGACCAGCTCGCAACCTACCTTTGACCAGTGAGTCCAGCCCTAGCTTGCCGAGTGAGCCTAGTCCAGCGCATGGAGCTTTCCGGAACCACATTCGAGTCGGGCAACGGAAATATGTACAACATCCCACTCAGAGACTGACTTCCGCTTCTTGATTCCGCAGAGCTTCGGAGAGTGATGAAGACATCGACGAGCTGAAGATGCGCGCGTCCGAGTTCAGGGTCGCCACACTGAAACGTGGCTCTCTAGGAATGTGGAAAGCCGCCGAAGGATTCGATACGTAGCATTTATTGTCAGAGCCAGCGCATGTTGAGAAGCGGAGACTAAAGTCTATTTTGAATTATTAATATTGACAATAATAATAATAATGATGAAGGAACAGCAACACGAACCATGGAAACAACCGTGTCGTCGAATGTACAAAAACGGGAAGCCCCCCACCATCTGGGAGGTCCTTGTGTAAATAGTGGGATCGTCGACTTCGGGGAAAAAGATACGAAGAGACCGGAACATTGAAACAAAAACCGAAACTCCGAGGAGGATACACAAAGACATGGTGCGGCTAGATGTGTATCGTCCTGTCCGGGAACGACTATGTATACTTTGTTAGGTCTCAGGAGTCTTCGACGACTCCTGAGAAGCAACAGCGGCGGCCGCAGCAGGAGAACGACGATGGGGAAGATGTCGTCGAATTCGACGGCGACGGATGCTGCGGGAGGAACGCAATGAACTCTTCTGGGATTCGCTCAAATTTTTAATGGACACCAAAACTCGAGGATGGAGACGACGGAGGGAGGGTCGAGTGCCAGGCTTCCCACCTTGCGTCCTTCTCGACCTCCTTCCCGTCGGTCGGGCGGTCGAAGAGGACCCCAAGCTGAGAGAATGTTTCTACGCGACGAATAGCAGTCAAGCGAACAGATACGCGAACACACGCTCCGGATGCCACGCTGAATGGATCCTGCGGAAAATCGACGTCTCCGAGGCACCCGTCTCCCCGGCGAAAATTTTTGCCTCCCGATATCTACTCCGCAAGCTACAAGTGAATTCACATCGGGAGCCTCGGAAGCGTCGACGCAACGTTTCTGAAGCATGCACCGAGTTTCCAAGTGCCTTAAGTTCTCCGACTCGAACACTGAGTTGAGGGGAGCGTTTGTATCAGCGATGCGGAATAAGTTCACCAATCGAAGTCATTTTGATTCCCTAATAATTGCGTAGCGTTCCCTTCTCCATTTATGAAGGGAGGGAACGAATAATAATAATAACACAGCGAGGTCGAGTTCGCGACCTTCGGAAATATCCGTCGCTGAGCGAACAGTCTTATTGAGATTGATGACAAGACAGTAATGCGAGGATGAAGGTTTGGACGATTCTTACGGATGGAAGGTCCGCACATCGAGGTCGAGATACCAATGGATTCCGATGAAAATAGTCTGGGCATTTAAAATTGGAGGGGAACGATTGAGCACTGTGCTGAGGAAAGCCTGATTATCTTTTTCTAGAAGATTTTTCCCCGTCACCCAACATCGAGAATATTATCGCATCCATTGTCAGAAGTTTACTTGGAGACCTCGAGAACGCCGGAGGTCACATTATGAGCTGGAAGTTGACTGATTGAATGATAGACTGATTTGAGGAATTAATGCTCGGGGAAATAAATTCCTGTCTGAGAGCGGACAACTCCACCAAACGCCTGTATTTGCGCAACTAATACCCAGTAAACTTAGCTCGAAAATGTTTTCCCAAAGGTCGTGGAGAACGATCGGAACGAATTCCTGAAACTGAAATCGATTTTCCAAAATACAATGAATAATTACCGATGCCGAATGCGGATTCCGACGAGTGTAAGTGACCGGAGTCGAACGTGGTATTTGAAGATGAACATGGTAAGAATAAATGATATGAAATGTTTACAACAGCATACGTATATTTATTTGACTCCGCCACCTTCTCATCTATCCCAGTGCATAGTCTGTGTTGCGTGGGGAAGCGTGTCCTGAGCGGCACGGATCGGAGTCGCCGGCCTTGGGCGAAGGGTTCGCTGAATTCGTTACCTGATATTTTCTCCCGGCATTACGTCATTAATCTCCAATTGAGCATCAATAAATTATGAGAGTTTCAGTGTCGTCAGCGTTTGTCGCATAAGTTGTGAGTCTCGCGGAGCCTGAGTTCTCAAAGTTGCTTGCCCGGCCAACGGTGCCTAGATCAGAGGCTATGCGACTAGGCTGCGAGTGAGGGAAGGAGAAGAATTCAATCGAGTGGAGGCCAGCCGGCCGAGGACGACGCCGAGAACATTTTTCATCAATCAGAAATCGCCGTGGTCGGAGGTCCATCTATTTCTCCGTAGGAAAAAAGAGATATGAGACGACGCAGGAGAAACAAGGATCAGGAGAAGGAGGAGGTGATGGCGGTCGGCTTGTTCGCTCGCTCGCTCGCAAGCCATGGCTCTCGGCTGGCGCCTGTTCTATGTGGAGCAGTGGTGGTGGTGGTCGTGGTATCGACAAAGCTGCTCGCCCTCACATTCTGTTGTTGCCGACGTCGACATCACCAACAACAACAACAACAATGTCAGCATCAGGAGAAAGCCGCCGCTATCGCCGCCGCCGCCGCCGCAACAACAACCACTGACTGAGAGGTGTTTTTCACCAGGGGCCACTAGCAGCAGCGTACATGAAGCTATCGGTCAAGGGGCTGTCATCATTTGTTATTCCTCGCAATGGCACTGCGCCGACCTTTTCTCTCCACTCCAAGATGATATTGCTTACGTTTGCTACCGCAGCTGCAGCTTCCCTGCTTCTTCTCTCCCTCGGCGAACCAGGGACTGACCATTTACAACGGAGCAATCGAATTGGTAAATATACGTATCAACACACGCATCAGCTCTCGTGAAGTCAGGGATCCTTGGGAGACGCGGACGAATCTATCCTCAACAATAGTTCATGTTCCTCTATGCAGTTTCGGATACAAAGGAAACGGTACGGTGGTGTCCATGACAGAACGGAGGGACAGCTGTGGAACGCTTTCAGAAACTCAGAGCCTATGCATGGGAATGATGCTTAGGAGAGCGAGGAATGAATCCATGGATACATCCCGACCGCTCGGCGAAGCAGATTTTCCGAACTCCTGCTCGAGGGCATCTCCCTGAAACCACACCTCAGGCCTGTCAGCATCGAGGGAGTTCTCCTCACGAAGTACAGTATTCGGAGCGAAGGAAAGCAGGCGTCCCCCATTGAAAATACCGATTTGCACGTTTTCGACGATGCTGGCTACCGGTTTATGCCATCGAGCTGGTTTGGGTCTCGGGGCCGGTTGTTCAAGATTCACTCTTTCCAGCGACTCGTCCACCTATGTGACGACCTACGGGGCCGCATTGCTTCCGGCGGAGACTTCCCATCGATTTCGGGGGTGGCAGGAAACTAGATCGCGAGCTCGCGACGAGAACCAATGATGAGTGATGTGTTACGATGCTATTCAGATTGGATGCCTCAATCCTCAGTACGAACGGAGTCATAATCTGCCATAATGCCCGATTATTCGAAAGCGTTTCCTGTCGCAAATTCCGAATCCGTGTAATATATCACATTGTTTAGATTTTAAGATCATCCTTTGGATGAAGTGCAGTGAGGGGGATGAGTTCCTCTCATTGCTGCGTTTCTGTCCTTGGGACGCTTTCTCGGGTCGAGCCCTCGGCGTGGTTCCAAGAGCCTCGGAGGAACGGGGAATCTGAATTCGGAACTCCGTTCGAGGCTACGACATCGGGTTGAAGGTCTTCAGCTGGAACGAAGCTCAACAAGCAAGTACGGAATCCTCTGCTCTCCGAAAGAGTTGGGTACTGCGGATCGGAAGCCTTCGTAAGATTCCGAGATTCGAGGCGGTGGCGGCGGTCCGGTGAAAGGAAGACGAAAGAACTTGAGGCAAAAAAAATCAGAAGCGAGCGAGCATTCGGGGGCGACCGTTGGTCGGTCTGAATGTAGCGGCAACTCGATGAAGGATCGCATCCATTTCCTTCACCATTTCACCTCCACAAAGGGATGATAATGGCAAGCTAAAAATCTTCACCGGATTGCCAGCTCAGTCGGCCGTTGGTTCGTTCATCGGTCGGTTGTTTGCCTCGTCAGTTCGGCTCATCCGAGGCTTCACGACGTTGTTGGCGTTACCAACAAAAACGTTTCCTTTATCATTTAATGGAGGAAATGCGTTCGTTTGTCAATAAAGAAGGAACGAGTGGACACGGAGAAGAGGCGGGGGGAAGAGCGGAATCGAAGAATAACAGATATAAAAATTATACAACTATAATCGCTCCCCATAGCTTCCGTCGAACGACCGCTGCTCAAGAGGAGAGGGCAGCACTGCGTCATGAGTACTTGCCCAGACTGAGCGGGTTTCGAACACCGACTCTCGAATGCTATTCCTTCCGATGCGGAAGAAGCGCGGATGAAGAGTAGCCCTGCCTCAGATCTGTTTCACGAAGTCCACTTGATTATGCGTTCAGCTGAAAGACGGCTTCGTTCAGGGAATAACTCGACCCGGCACCTTGTAATTCCCCGTAATTCCTTCTCGATCGGCAGCAGAGACCTCGGCTGGATTGGTGGGGCTCCTGTGAAGTAGCGTTCAACGACCCCGGGCCTTGCTTAGTCCAAGTCGTTGCAACGATGCGTTCGTCGTTTGTAGAGTTTGCTACTGGCAGCTGCCTGAAACCAAACGAGCCGACTCAACTCGTCTCGTTCTCTAGGTTGTGGTCATCCAAGCAAAGTCCATCAACATCATTGAGTTGCGTCGTCGTTTCATCCACCGGGTGCCCACTCCCCGCTCCAGAGTGGCGACAGCGAACCGAGCGAGCGAACAAAACCCCTTACAACGACAGACGCTTTTCTTCGCCCCTGTCCCCTCTCTTCCCCCAGCAGTCCTGATCCCTCGTCATTCCTCCGCTGGCTGCGTTGAGTATCAAAGATGAAAACGGTATACCCCGCGTCATTCGTCTATAGGCGGAACGCTGCGATTTTTCTGATCCGTAGTGGTTGTTCTAGGCCGTGTGCGGTAATCCTGGGCTTTTTCAGAGTCGTAGAGCTGGATTATGCCCCGAGCAGTCGACCCGTAGGCCGTCTCGGAGACGTGAGCGAACGTACCAATTCTAAATGCGCCGGAGAATTTCTTGACTCACCAAGTGTCTGTGGGTTGAGAAGGTTCGACGAGACGTCGAGAACCCCGCTCCAGCCCGAAGGATTACAGCGGTAAACGATCGACGAAAGTAGAGGGAATCGGGAAAGCACTTCGCCTGGGAGAGGAA